TGAACCTTACAAACAGGGAGGGTGAAGGTTGGAGGCAGTCTTGGCTGCAGTGATTATGCAATGGTGAAGTTCAAGGTCCCCAAAAGAGGCAAATGGCAACCACTGATTTCAGGAGAGCACACTGATGTCTTTAGGCATCAGCTTGGAAGAACTGCCTGGGAGACAGCCCTAGAAAGATGGATACAGGAGCTGATTGACTTTCAAGAATCACCTTTTCCAAGCTCAAAAATGGTCCACATGTAGGAAATCAAGAAAAAGCAGGAGGATCTCCTAACAAAACTCAGACATAAGAAGGAAGAACACGTGAATGGTAAGCAAGGACAAGTGAACTGGGAGGAATAGAGACACTGCCTGAGGTGTAAGGATTGGATTAAGAAAGCCTAAGCCCACTTGGAGTTGAATCTGGAAAGAGATGTTAAGGGCAACATGAAGGGCTCTACACGTCTGTCAGCAGTAGATGTGGGAAAATGTGGGCCCAATGCGGAATGCGGCAGGCAGGAGGTCCAGTGGCAAAGGACGTGGAAGAGGCAGAGGTACTCAATGGCTTTACCACCTCAGTCATTTCTGGAATGAAAAAAAGAGTGGTGGAGGGAAGACTTGCCTTCAGTGGAGAAGGATCAGGTTGGGGAACACTTGAATAGACTGGACATACGCAAGTCTATGGGGCATGACTTCATGTGTCCGTGAGAAGCTGTATGTGTTGAATTGGCTGGCTGATGTCATTGGAAGGCCATTCGTGATAATCTTTGAAAGGTCATGGTTATTGAGTGAGGGTTCTGAGAACTGGATGAAAACAAATTTCACTTGTCTTCAAAAAAGCCAAAAAAAAGGAGATCCAAAGAACCATAGGCTGATCAGCCCAGCCCCACCTCAATCCCTGGGAGGCTGACAGAGCAAATAATTCTGGAAAACATTCCTGAACATTAAGCACAAAATGTGATTGAAGTAGTCAGCATGTATTAAGAAAGAGGAAATCATTCCTGCCTAACCCAACAGCCTTCTACAAAGAGATGACTGGCTTGATGAACAAAGGAAGAGCAGATGATATTGTCTTTATTGCAGATTCTTTTGATTTTAGCAAGACTTTCAACACTGTCTCCTGTGATATTTTCAATGATGAAGTACAAGCTAGATAAATGGATGGTGAAACTGAAGAGTTGCTGAACTGCCAAGCTCAAAGGGTTGTGATCAGTGCCAGGAAGTCCAGCTGGAGGCCCATTTCAAATGATGTACAATAAGGGCTCATACTGGGTCCAATACCATTTCACATCTTGATTAATTAGCTGAACAGAGTGCTCCCTTGGCAAGTTTGCAAACAATGCAAACTTGGGAGGAGTGGCTGATGCACTAGAGGATCATGCTGCTGCTTAGAGGGGCCTTCACAGGCTGGAGAAACAGGCTGATGGGAACCTCATGAAGTTCAACAAAAGCAAAGTCCTGCACCTGGCGAGGAATAATCTGATGAGGAATGTGCTTCATCTGTCTATTTAGCAGTGGTGATACCACACTGTAGTATTGTCTCCACCCCTGGTGTTGTTTCCCCAGTACAAGAAGGAAATGGACATACTGGAGCAAGTCCAGCAAATTGCTACAAAAATGAATAAGGGATTATAACAGTTGTCATATGAGGAGAGGCTCAAAGAGTTTAGATCAGAGGAGAGATGGCTTTTTCCTGTTGTCATGTCTGGGCAGTTGGGGGAAGTGCATGAAGCCTTGTTTTCTACAAGACTCATCAAGCAGATGCCATGTAAATGAAGTGCTGCTCTTGGAGCAATTTAAACACAGCCATACGTTGTTTCCTGGTGATCAGATCTGTAATATAAGCCTATCTTATGAAACTGCTTCTTGGCAGGATTTCTTTAGTTATCACATCAGCAGGTGCAGAATGATGAAGTATCTGTATGAATGTTTAGACTTCAATGCATCTGCTATTTCTATACCAAGAACTTGTTTGCCTCCTGTGATTGATAAGGCTTTTTAAGATAAAAGAAGTGGACAATTGAAGACTAGGTGAAGGAATGCAAACACAACTGTGAGAACTCCTGTCTACTGCTGCTTATTCATCGTCCCAAGAGAAAAAAAGAGCTTGACCATGAAGGAGGATTCAAGCTTGTTGAAAGCAATAAGCAGTCACCATACATACCTCTTGATCATAGGGTCTGAAGTATCTGTTGTTTCACTTTTCCTTTACAGCTCTTGGCCTTCTTGACTGGTAGTCTAGCTTTCAAGGCACTTGTTTCCATTTCTTCCAAAATGTTGATGAAAATTTGACCATTGAAGATGAACAAAAAGCTTTCCTGTAAGGGAGAAAATAAAAGCTAAGCTAAATAAAGAAGTGCAGAACTACACTGGAGCAGAGGTCAGCTCTTTGTGAAAAGATATGGAGTTCTCTGCAGATATGCACATAGCACTGTGAACACTGGGGAAAGAGGATGACTGGGCCAAAATCCTAGCTGAAAGTTTGTGCAGGTCTGTGGAAGAGAAGTGCTGATGACACTCCTGCTAGAGAATGTAGAATGTGCTTTACGTTGCTTGATTTATGGTCAGAAATTGGGCTCTAGAGACTAGCAGTGCTACTGGGAAGATGGAGCTGCTACCATGGCTTGTAGGAGGAAGCTGTTGCAGTTATAGGTCTGGTGTACTTTGCACCTCGCCACCTATGCTACATTTTATTTCCCTTCCTTACCTGTCTTTTGTGTATCTGCTAGTGAGTTCTGAAGTGATGCTTGAAGATACTGCATGGACGTACTTTCTGCTCCTTCTACTTGCACTTCCTACTCCAGGACTATAAGGTTCTGCTTTTAAAGAAAAAGTCTTTCTCTGCTGCCAAACCATCTTCCAAGAACCCTTGCTATAGGTGCCTATTTGCCAGTTTTTCAGCTGTGCATGCTTATGTCTTTGAGTAGCTGTTTTCATTCACATGTACTGGGAGCTCGAAGCCAACAATATTGAATTGGCTGTTGTTCCCTTCTCAGCCAGGTTGGGGACCAAGCAAAAGGAATGGCGAGCAGCTCTATGTTTCTCCACTGACACAATGGTCAAGAGCTGGCAATGCGCCCAGGAAGAAAAGGAATAAAAGGGAAAAGATCCCTACTGCCTGTTGGCATCAGAAATGATGGATGAGGAAGAAGTACAGTGAGATCTGCAAAATAGACTTGCTAATCTGGGAGCCTAAGAGTATGGGTTCTGGCATGTCTTGAAGATCCCTCTAATGTATGCATCCTCTCTCCTCTGGCAGACTTGACTCCTAGAGATCTCCTCCTCCAGTACAACTTTCTCATTTGTCTTTCATTTCCTTGTAGTCCTCAGAAGAGGCAAATTACCCTCAAATTAAGAAGAATCAGAAAAATCTCTAGAGAGTGTGAAGTCTGTGACCAGGGACAGGATCTAGTCCATTTGTTGGCATAGGTTCCTTTACTGTTTTGATCCCCCAAAGGTCTAGATTTCCATCATGCTGCTCTGCCTTTTCTCACCACCACCACCCCCCACCCCCCCCCCATGATAGTTCCTTTCATACGTGGCTTTCTCTCTCAGACAAGGCAAATCTGTAGTTTTCAGTAGATTCAGATGTGATCAAACTGTGAACGCACACTGGGAAACTCTTTGTACTAGTACTACAACAGTCTCTGCTGTGAATCTGGCTTGAGGCTGAATTTGGGAAGGTTCAAGTCTATCAACCTCCCATTATACTGTCAAACTTTCCTGCTTATGTGACAATTTGATGGATGGAGGCAGTTTGCCATTTTACTGAAACACATCAGAAATATAACCATGCAGCCAGAGGGAGGATGAAAAAACGCAAATGGATTATAATTGCAGCCTATTGTCTCTATGTGCTGTTGGGGGAACAGAGATCTAAGATTCTGTGCCCATGCAGCTTGTTTTACACTAAGTAGTCACAGAAAAGAGAAACAGAGGGAGAGAGATAATTCAGGGTGTAGGAACCAGAGATTTGTGGATTTTCACTCCTAGCTGAATTCAGTAAATGCAAATCAAAATCTTTTTTGGCTTTTCTTTTTAATCTGTACTCAGAGACTTTACGCTGCCAGCCACACTGTGGCCCACTTCATGGTGGCTCCTATATTTTTGTGCACACTTCTATGTACTCCTTAGATACTCTATGGCCTTGTCATGAGGCTCCTATGGAAAGTGATGGATGCAAGTTTGAACTATTTCAAAATCAGGAGGGAAGTGGGTTCAAGTGAGTCACTGCACCGAGGAATGGTTTAGCTCCTGGGCTACTATGTAAAAGTTGATGACCACACCATGACTACCACCGCTTCCATTATGTTCTTCAATAAAAGTGTGACTGCTCACTGTGGGTGTATGGACAACTTCAGCTCTCCTAATGAATTACACGTACAAGCAAACTTAAGGTCACTTAATCTGTAGATCTCAAATAGCCTCCAGCAACATAAAGATGGCCATATACCAAGATGACACATAGCTTCTGAGCCTGTTTAATAGAGCTCTGGACAGAAGATAGAGTACATATACTATTTCAGATACCTCACCGAGTTAAATGAGTGTACATAGATTGTTTTCTTGCATATATACAGCAGTCCAGATTCCAGTTTTGTGTTATCTTTTAACTTCCCTTAAATGTTCTGTAAAATTAATTAAGTAAGAGCTAGGGCTGTATTTTGAAATAGGTGAGAAATGCTACACATACATTACTGTTGATTAAGAGAAGATATTGTACGACTGCTTACAGACTTCAGTCACAGGTACAATCAGGGCTACTATCGAGCATACTCATTCAGATACATGACTCGCTGGATACCAATCCATTGTCAGTTTTATACCTACTTTATATATACATGATTTTATATATGTACAATTTATTTCCTCTATGGTTACATATTATGCTTTTGCTTCATAAGAGAATTTTATTCAAAGATTACAATGCATTCAAAATCACAAATAGTATGTGTGTCATGGTTAGAAATTAAACATTTATCATCTCTTGCTTTATCCACATCTGTCTTTTTCTGCATTAGGTTTCAGAAGTTGTTGAGAGGTTTCCTGCAGCCTGAAATGATGGAGAGCCTCAGATAAAGGACACCCCAATTTTACACCCAAGGAATATTGCTTAATATGTATTAATCTGAAGTAATATACTGTATGGTAAAGCATTTAATAGAGAGCCAACCTTCTAACACCCAGAGAGCATTTAGTTTTTGTCCAGTCAAAACCACCTAATGTAACTGCACATGCTACAATGGAAACTGTAAGACAAATACAAAGTTTTGGTATCTGTGTTACCTATACGTATCCTATAGCATCTGGTATGGTATTTGCCACTCTTCTAGTGTGTTGCTGCTCATCTCTGAACATAAGAGCTCGTCCACTTGTTCATAATTCACCCTTCCTTTCTATCTGGAATGCTCCTACAGAGCTTTGTACTGAAAGGACTGGAGTACAGCTGGACATGAATTTTTTTTCCTTCATTGGAAGCACACTGAAGACATCCACTGGGCAAAACATCACTCTTTTCTATCCAGACAGGCTTGGCTACTATCCTTACAAAAATGAAATCACAGGAGAGGCGTTAAATGGAGGACTCCCTCAACTCTCACTGCTGGAGAATCATTTAAAGAAAGCCAAAGAGGACATCCAGTTCTATATTCCTTCAGATGAACAATTTGGATTGGCTGTCATTGACTGGGAAAACTGGAGACCTGTATGGATAAGAAACTGGGGATCAAAAGATATTTATAGGCAGGAATCCATTGAACTGGTTCAGCAGAGAGACCTCAGTATATCAGAAGCCGAAGCCAGGATTATAGCCAAAATGGAATTTGAAGCTGCAGCAAAATCAATTATGTTGGAATCTTTAAAGCTGGGCATAGAAATGAAGCCAAATCGTCTGTGGGGATATTACCTTTATCCAGACTGTTACAACTATGATTACAAACAAAACCCACATAATTACACAGGGACCTGTTTAGATATTGAAATAGAAAGAAATAATGAGCTTAATTGGTTGTGGGAGAAAAGCACAGCACTTTATCCATCTATCTATCTAGAGACAGCCTTAAGATCTTCCAGAAATGCCCAGCTCTTTGTTCGCAACAGAGTTCAAGAAGCCATTAGAATTTCTTATGTCTCTAGTGCTACTCATCCTCTTCCAGTTTTTGTATATACACGTCCAGTGTTCACAGATGTCTATGAGGAATATCTGTCCCAGGTGAGTGGAGATAGCCCTTGAATAAGGGTTAAAAGATAGTGAGAAAATTCTGTCCCTAGTTGTACTCCAGTAGCTTTCCAAATAGTATTTCAGCATCTCATGGGTTAGCCAAGGTTAGGCTCTGATTAAGGTCTAATCATCTTATTGCAGTTATGGCTATACTTTCCCCTTCATATTTTTATATACACCCATGCTATCAGAGATGCTGCCAATCTGGGGAATCTCTTCCTGGTCATCCAGACCATGAGGAAAGTGAAGTTAGATGTTGTAGTAATGGTGAATGCATTGTTGTCTGTTGTCGTCTCACGTTCTAGATACAGCATGACCGGGCATTGTCCCCAGTTCTGTGGATACCTTCAGGGAGCAAGGGGTGCTGTCAGAGTCCCTACTGGGTTCCTAACCAATCGCTTAAATCCTGTAATCCTTACATTCTTCCTTTTCATGTGCTGTGTTTTCCCCTTGTTCTTTTTCTACCCATAGTCCTCTCGCAGGCCGGATGAGCTTTAAGATTTTTGTTAGGGCTGGGTTAATAGCTGACCCTAAAAGGAGATATGAGCAGAAACAAATTTCCCAGATTAATCTCTGTAAAAGGCCAGAGCCATCCTCTGAAGAAAACTGATTGCTGTTGATGAAAGCTCTTTCTCTTGCTACTTTTCTGCTTTAGCACTTTCTGGTACCTGATACGAAGTTTAAAAAAAAATACACACACAAAAAGAAACAAACCCAAAACCCAAGCCAAACAACCAAAATAGCTGTGCTGTCCAGCTTTTGCTTCAGGCAGCATTACTGAAACCAGCTACTACCAGCTCTGAGCAGTGTCAAGGCAATGCAGCAAAACATAATTTAAAATGGTTGGAGGAGTGTATGTCATATGCCTAACCACCATCTCAGTTTTACAGCCTTGTTTTTCTAACCAGATGACATACATAAATTGGATATAGTTGGCAATGTTTTCTGGTGTCACCTGTGCAACCCAATCCCAGAATAAAACAGTGTAATTGAGAGCAGAATGTTTGCATAGTGTATAATTACTTGCTGTCCTCAAAGCAGTTATTTTGGATATGTAATTTACTATACACATTATACCCTTTGCCCTTGTACAAAGAATCATACTGATGTAAGTAAGCTATAACATGTTTCCCCTCAGGATGACCTGGTAAATACCATCGGAGAATCTGCTGCACTGGGTGCTTCTGGAATTGTGATCTGGGGTGATATGAATTTAACACAAAATAAGGTATGCCAGATTAATCATAACATGACATTTTTAAAGAGCTCTAAAGTGAAAAGGACATAAAGCATTATGATTACTTACATAAGATCTTCTACATTTATAATAATGACTCTATATTGCCAGCAGTCCTATCGAGTCAAAAAAAGCAAGCACATTTGAGGCATATGAAGATCGTCACTGACCACACAGAGTAAGAGTTCAGTTTTTCAGATTATTGGTGTTGGATCTGAGCAACTGGACAAGCTACTATGGTAACTGTAGGCAAGTTCACGCTTAATTTAAGGAAAGAATTCCTATATTCTCATTGCATTGCAGTCTTGAGGTACAGAAAAAAATTACTTGTGCTTGCCCAAAACAATTTTTAAAAGACTCTTCTACTTTTTAAAGTAGTGCATTTAGCAAGAATATTTAAAGCACTAGGAGTTAGTCTGTGAAATTTCAGCGTCAGCCTGTTGTGTGTGTTGGAAGTACTACTTTGATTAATTTCATAGTAAGAAGGATCTGGGTCAGAAAAGAGAAAAAATCTAGTTTGTTTTAGGAAGGGAAAAAACATAGTTTGAGAAACAGTGTTACAAGGATGTTCAAATAAATCTTTCGAACTAGCTCATTCATACCCAGGCAAGCTAGATATCATAAACTTCTGTATGGGGAGACTCTTCTGAAGTCTTCTAAGAGCAAAGAGCTGAAACTCTAAAGCACTGCTGGGCCTCCTGTCATAGAAAGCATAGCCAAATAAACCTCCCAGTTGTTAGGGTCAAACAATCAAGAGCATCTGAGCTTGACTTTATTATATGTGCCTGCATTTGAGAAAGGATTATCAGTTGCACTTGAAGGGGTTTTTTTTTGCCTATTAGTGCAATATCAGACCACAGATAAGCAACCACTTTTATTGCTTGAATTTTGAGATTCATGTAAGGAAACAGAACTTTCCACAGCCCAGTCAGACTATGTATTTGTGCACTAATCACACCTTTTTTTTTTTACAGCTATCAGAGTCAGTAGCCTTTCAGCAATGAACTATTACTGTGAGCCTCCCTTCTGCAAGAATTGCATCAACCAAAATTTCTAGGCAGGGTTTTTATCTATACCTAAAAGAAAAACAAAAAAACCTACCTGTACCTCATATTCACCAAAGTCATCTCCACAGGTGTAAATATTAGCTGTATCTATATGTGGTATTAGGCAAATGCCCTAAGAAGACAGTGTCAGAAACAAAGAGTTTCCAAAGCCTCTGATTATTAAACCGTGCCAAGCATACACAGAATATATGTCATCTTTGTGATCAATTCAAATGCTCAATTCTCTTAGCATACATCCAGTTTGACCATCCTCCCAAAATGTTTTCCATTCAAAAATGCTGTGAAAGCTCCCTTTTCCTGCAGCCTATTCAGGTCAGGGCAAAATTGAAGAGTCTCATAGAGATGATTTGATAGAAAAAAAATATTTGTTCAGGCTGAAGAAGTGAGATTTTCTTCCAAGATCCCTTCAAACCATTCAAGACCATAAAAAAGAACTTTGATCCTTCATGTAACTTCTTTAAATGCAACTGATTCAAGAAGCTACATGAAATATACAGATAAAATGAAAGCCTAAAGTTGTTGGCTTTCTGATGTGTTTTTCATCACATCTACAGCAACTACCCACATAAATTTGCTGTGATCCTTGAACTGTGTAGCAATTTCTCAGATAAACTTGCTTCCAACAACTAGTTGGAACTGTTATCTATTATCAAAACCTCAGAAGAAACATTCATAGATATCCACTACAGTAAAGTGGTGTTAGAATGACAGCATTTTAATGGTTTCTACACTAAACTATGCAGATATGATATTCTTTTCACAGAACACCTGCAGAACTCTGGACAACTACCTTAGGAGGACCTTGACCCCATACCTCATCAATGTCACAATGGCAGCCAGAATCTGTAGCCAGGTGTTATGCCAAGACTCTGGTGCCTGTGTACGGAAAAAATGGAATTCCACTGACTATCTTCACTTAAACCCTGAGAATATTGTCATTCAAATGACAAAGGATGGAAAATACACTCTACAAGGGCAGCCAGCATTTCAGGATCTGCAAACATTCATAGAAAAATTTGATTGCCACTGTTATGCAGGGCAGAGTTGTGAACCGAGAGCTGATATAAATGACATCCATTACCTCCATGTTTGCATTTCAGAAGATATTTGCATTCAGATATCCTCAAATGCGCTTTCTAATATAGAAGACTCTGAAGAAAAGATCCTGTCTAACAGAACTGTATTTTCGTTACCCTCCCAGAGTAAGGTGACATTATCTACACATCCTGAAATAGAAGATTTCCAATCTACCTTTGGAAATAATATACTCAATATAACAATTCCAAAACATAGCACTGTCACAGCTGTGACTAAATATGATTTAGAAGCAAATGATACCCGTACTTCCAGTAGTTCTTCATCCTATAAGATAACCATGTTTAATCTGTTGAGTTTAATTCTAATTTTCAGAACATTAATACAAATGACCTGTGAAAGTGAGAATATTCTTTTCTCTGGCTGTGGTTGAAATTCTGTACGTTTTATTTACAAAGAAAAACCATTCCTGAAAGGCATATGGTCTTATCTGTATCAGGTAACCTTTTCTATTGCATAGGTGACACTTCAGCTTGAATGTATTTCTTCAGTTTAGTTCTATAAACTACTATCTGTGCCAAAGGTATACTGATCTGTAAATATGGATTACACCAAAGGACAATCCAGAATAAGGAACTTTTTTTACAGTTTACATTTTTAACAGTTATCTTAAAAAAAAAAAAAAATTGTGGATAATGCCATTTTGTATACTTCAAGTTAAGCAGTTAAATACATCGTAACCTGGATCTCATTGAGTCTCAGGAATCAATAGGTTTGATGCAGGAATTAATTTTATTCCATATGAAACTTTAGATCTGTGGGACTTTGCAGCATAAAATTTATCTGATTAATGTAACGTTTCTCCACTTTTCACCATACCTACAGGGACACTGTGGTTTTTCTTTCAATTAAATATATTCATAACTCTTCTAAAGGTTCTGACTTTAATGTAAATATTCACTTCAAATATTACAGCTTCATTATTCAGAATATGAGCTGAGCAGTTTATCCTTCTTTCTTTCCTCTTCTCCCAAGCCCTCCCCTCCTTATCTCAGATGTCCCATCCTTGGCTTTCACTTGTTTTGTCTAGCCAACACAACTCATCTGATCTGCCTTTACATTTCCTATGGGCACTAGTCACCAGCCCTAGTTTCTCCATCCAGCCAGTCCTAGCAATGGGATACAGCTGTCTATGCCATTTGGACAAAAGCCTGTGAGCATAGAACTTTCCTGAGCAGTTTCTTTGGTAGTATCCAGTTTGTCCCTCGGGAAAACCCATCAGTGGAGACTGTAAGATGAGTGACACTGAAGGTCTGGGACTCCCTTTCTTCACCTCCAATGCCTGTGATTCCTAACCTCGAGACAAACTTTTTGATGCAGTCTGCTGACAGCTCTAAGGCTATTTGCTAATGTTATTCCATTGCCAAAAGCAGTGTGAAAGTAGTAGAGATACCTCAGAGCAAAACTGCTCCCAGTATCATATCAGGAGTCTATTTATGGTGTATGTGTAGCATTTAGAAGTAATTAACAGTTTAGGCATTTAGAAGCAATTAACTGCAGTTTATTTGATAAAATAACCTTTTCAAATTATTGTGTCAGATACTTAATAGGCTGCTGGACTTCTGATGGGTGAAGAGTAGCTGCTGACATGGATACATTAAAAAGTCTCCCCAGAGCTAAGCATGATCCTCATAAATCACCACCTCCCACAGATGCAACCTGCCTCACTAATGGAAATGCCTAAGATTTCAATATATAGTAGCCCTTTATTTATAAAAAGTTCATGCCTCAATCTAGCAAAAAGCACATATTCATTGCCTTTGAATTTTCAGTTGTCAGTCATAACAGACATGCATAAAAATAGATGAAGCCTTTAGATTTAACTTGGAGAAATAATGTTTTATGGCTTTTGGCAGCAAGTTATCAAGAGGGGGTGACAATTTTGTCATCACAGTTATGGTGTTGAGTCAAAGCTATTTCTGCCATTAATATTCCAAGTAGAATCATGGATAAAAAAATATATATATGTAGCAGACTGACACAAAAAAAAAAGCCAGCTGCTTTTAATCACCTCTGTAAAAACATATTTCTTTTTCACTTCAACTTTGATATTGGGTATTTGATCTTGGGTAAACAAAAGCCATGGTATCATAATTACTGTACCTGAGGTCCCTCCCCTTTCACACCATAGTTGTGATAACTGGGTTATCAAAGGGTTTCTAAAAATTGGAAACATAAAAAAAAAAAACAAAAGCAGGAATGACAAGTTGAAATCACAGAAGAGTTGAGGCACAGCCAGGACCTCCCAGTGGATGCAGAGGAAGTGAACTGCTGAAGCAAAAGAGTGAAGCAGTGGGGAATGTGAACAGACCAGTCTCTTCCCATTCAACAGTTTTTATCTACCTGGCATTTATACAGTCAGCCTTTCCCTGAGGCCCACTGTAAAGGTACAGGAACACAGTAACTGATATTGTTAGATTACACCTATCCATCTGATCCCATCTCTTTTTTTCTTGAGAGCAGCCAAGATCAGCAAAGGGATATGAAAGGCAGGAGACTATTGCAATAAAATGTCCACAGAAATGTGTCTCCATATAAATAGCTGTCTGTCATATGCTCCAATGCACAATCCTTTACAAAACACCTTTCGAATGCTCATTTGGGATATTTATGTTACCTACATATATCTGCAATTCATGCTTTAAATCCTACAAATTTCTTGCCATAGAATCAGTCTGGCTCCGTGCTGTGTAAAATTACAGTATTTTCCAAATATTTTATTTTATTCTGTATTATATTTGTCTTGCCTATATTCTATGCTAGAGCCAGATGGAGTCAGAGAGCCTCCACGGAGTCAGGAAGAAGTAAAGAACAAAAAGGGGTGCTGTGCCTTGCATCGCTGGTGACTATGTTAGGTTCAAAGCCAATCTTGTATTCTTCCGAAGCGGACTCTACCGCCCCCAAATATTCCCCTTCCATTCACTGCACCTCCTGTAATCATTAGTTGTCTCTGTAGCCCTGTAGTTTCCATTTCTTATGTTGTATGTTTCAAAAGATTAAACACTAAAGAAACATTCATTTCACTTTTGATTGCCATTCACTCTTTTGTATGTCTCCCTTCTAGTAAGCTTTCAGGCTGGCAATACTTAGGGACTTGGAAATGCTAAACCAGTTTTGATGAAATAGTCTAAAAGAAAGTTGTTTGAGTGCCTCCAGTGCGCTCCTCCAACATCTAAAAGTTCTCCTAAATTTTAACTGAAATTCCGGCTCTCTCTCTGAAGAATCTGGATCTGGTTTATTGTGTTGCTTACTCTGGGGCACCCAAAGCTATTGCACTTTTTAAGAGAGGTGCCTATGGGCACAGAATCTGAACAGAAGTGAAATCATAGTCTAGTCCTTGCCTTACAGTTTCTTGTTTCTCTGTATTAAAAATAGCAACAGGGAGAGAGAGACTGAGATGCAGGCCAGTAAGACCACTTTGTAGACAGCCTAGTATGTGACTAGCATCCCAAGGAGCCCAGCTAAATTTGCTCTAATCCCTGCATCACAATATATACATACATATCAGCAAAGAATTGTGTGGAAGATTTCCAACCTGTGCAATATGCACTAGACAGCTCCCAGACACAGATTAGATTTGTGCATCTACCTATCCATCATTTTTCAATACAAACAACAAGACAGCGAAGACAGTACATAATTTTAAAACATATTCAGTTATGGAGCATTGATGACCTTTTTAAGAAGACAACTAAATTCTGTCCTTCAAGCACACACACTTAAAACTTACTTGAAAGGTTTTTCAGTGTGCTTGTGCAAGGCCCTTTGCACTGACAGATACCTATTCTGCCAAAGCAAAACAGCCTGCAAAATTAGGGGCTGAGATTTCAAGACAGAGTTATGAGTTCCATTCCAAAGAATAACAAAGATAAAAAACGTTTATTGCATGGCTTAAAAAAAATATTATTGCCTTATTTAACAATTACGTCATCTTTCTTGAAGAAATCTCTTTTTTGTTTTTGTTTCTTGGCAGTTTTTCCCCTGTCCTACTGAAAGCCATTGTATAGGTGGCTGGAAGCAGATTGGTCTAACTTCAGCCCTTAGCACTTCTAAATGGTTTTGGATATGTGGTTAGCCCAGACCTTTCTGTCTGTTTTTCTGGAAACTCCAATGAAATTTAACCAGGCACCATGGTATTTTTCTTTATGATAGCAGTCATGTAAGCAAGCAGTATTCAAGATCAATTCTAAATTTTTGTGTATACCAGTCAAGGATTTGGGTCTGTAGAGAACAGTTCTTTGGTGTGCAAGAGTTCTGAATCTTTTGCAGTGACTTTTCACTGCCAGTAGTACACAGGACTGTAAAATCTTCTTGCATTTGTTGTCCCCTTGTTACAAACAAAAAAGTAACGGGCAAGGAGGGTAAAGGGCACCAATCAATATTATCATCTTTAAAGGAACAACATTGTATTTCATTATATTCACTAATGTGTTACCACCATCTTGGTGTATTGATTATAGTTCTCCTTGGCTAGTAGTTATCAGATGACATTTTCAGTGTATGCTTGTATAACCCTTAGTTTAAAACTTGTAAGATATTTATTGATTAGTAATCACATACAAACAGTATGAAAATTAATGTCAATTGCTACTTTACATATTCAGTCAACATTTTGTTTCTCTGCACATGATTCCAGAGCATTGTGTTCAATGCCATATTTATATGGACATCAGATAATATGCAGTCACCCCTCTCTGCCTTTGTTTTCATCTCAAAAAATGTATTTATTCAATAGCACTTCAAGATCTCTTAGAAGAACTATACCATATGTTGGCAGTGTATTTCTGGCACACACTGCTCCCTCAGGCTACTAGCAGATTGAGGCGAGATGGTAGGTTGCCAGTGTCAAGCGATGATTTCCTAAGGCAGGGACCTAACAACCACCATTTAAAGGGAGGCTAAGGGCACCCTACAATCTCATAAGAACAATATTATTCATGTCACAACAAAGTACCTCACTGCTAGCACTGCTAGTAATTAAGGGCACTGGACTAGTAATAGACTCAGCCTGTCTTGAAATCCTATGCAGTTTCAGTACGTGCTGCATATACCAAATTTAGGTATCCAAACCACAGAGTTCTTAAGTTAAAATCTTGAATGTGGCCCACTGAACCAGTGTAACAATCCTTACAGAAATCCTTTTTCACCTCTTCTCTCACTGGAGCATGACGAAAACCAATATAGATACTAAGGAGTTCCTGACGCTCCAGCCAGCAGAGGGCACTGACGGCACAGGCAGACACTGGCGGGTGCATTGCATAGCTTTCACTGTAAAATTCAATCCAATCTCTCTATTCTCTTTGACAAAGCACCTGCTTGACTCTGGCCTACAAACAGAAAACACAACTAGACTCTCACTAATGCAGTGCCTCATTAGCAGAAAAGATATGTGGCTTATTCTACACGTTTTTTTTCCTCAAACACCTGGTATATTAGGACTGAAAATACCGGAGAGAGGCATCACCTCTTCTCATGATCTCCACTCGGAGGGGATTTCATTCAAGTGAAGGCTTCTTCTTGTTAAGATCTTCAGCTGTCACTGAAATCCCCGCTTAAACTACAGATAATGTGATCTGATCTCTTTGGTACCACTCCAAAGTAGAGACGTGGGTCCCAAACATCTTGTTTCTCTCCAAATGTGGAAATATCTGGATATTCAGTGTTGGTTCAGTCAAGCTTTGCTGAACATGTATTGCATCAACACCATCGTCACCTGAAATGTAAGATACATTGTTATACTTTTTCATAGCATAAATAAGCCTCTGCAATGGAGTATGCTGCCTTACTATCACTTCATCCACAAAGCGCTTGAAAGACTCAGTGACCCCATAACACTGCTGAAGTGTGTAAATCTCTGTAGACAAGACAGGAAAGTGAAATACTTGATCAACTGTCAAATGTTTCCCAGAGATTAAGGGGCTTGTCTACAGTCACACTGAATAGTTAATTGTGGCCTTCTGTGCTCCAGCTCAGGCTTTTAGCTACAAGAACATACATCCTTTGAGCTGCTAGTGGTAGCAAGGTAGCAATATTGTATTTTTACATACAATATTATCAAACTGTCTGCAAAGTAAAGAATTGTCCTTCATAATAATTTAGTTTTGCAAAGGATATATCAGATTTTAGATCAATTTAACAGATCTTTCAACTTGGACAAACCCTCCAAGACTTGTTCATATATTATATGTTGACCTCCTAGATACTGTAAGAGACTTCAGTCAGTGTACAGCTGAATTAATGGTTTAGATTTATCAGCCCATCTTCTGCCGGATACGACAGAAATGTATTTTTTCAGAATATGTTACTGTATCTGCAATATATTGTTTCTTTAAGCTCCCGCCACTAAGAGCCTTCTATTGAAGAATTAAAAACTCTTCAAAAAAGTCTTGCAAAAACAGAGACTGCTCAATTTCATACACGTTTTCCCCCGTTCAGTAATCTGAGCCACTTGATTCCCAGAAACCACTCTCACAAATTGACTGTCTTTATTCTGCACATTGCTATCTGGGTGATATGTGGAGATGGGAGAAATTATTTTATTTTTCATTTTTTAAGGCACCCAGAAACACTTCACCTATTCACTGAAAATCTATACTTGCTTTGGCTGAAACAAGCTTTTAAAAATAACAAGATTGACAAATAATACTGTTTTGCCAGTGAATTATTTCCTGGTCCTTTTACCCCTGCAACCAGAATAATTCATTTCCTCAATGTCAACCTTTTGACCCATGTCTCCAGTGAACCCCCAGTTATATTTACCATAAACAGTAACTGGTGGGTAAACTTGTGACCAGTGCCTGAGGATGTATGTATGTAATGAATGGCCATCTGGCTGCTACAAAGAGGCAAGTAAAAGAGCAGAGTTCTGCTACACTCTCTCTCAATGCAGGATCTGATCAGGTTCTTTTTTCACCATGCCACCCATTTGCAAGAAACTTTGAGAGCTGTACCATGCTCTGAAACTGCTGACGATACCCATCACTCCCTCAGTTTTAACACAGACATTCAAAATTCTGACTCTAACCCAAACCACCAATGCTAGGCTATAACGTTAGGACAAAAGGACTACCTGTGTCAAGAGCAGAATCTTATGAAACTAGGGAAAAAAAAACAACCACCCAATTCCTTTTGTTTGTTTGGGCCTGGCCACTTAGATGTGTCTGCTTTCCTCAAGACTTTGTATTAAGAGAAACAATGAAAAATAACTCCCTTACACTACCTACTGGGTAGCAGGGCCAACTCCAGTGTCCAATTTCCTTCTGGAAATGTTCAATTAAATTTACAAGAGTAAGTAAATGAGTATCTGTAAAAAAAAAAAAAAAATCTTAGCATTACCCTATGAGTCACTTTTACTGTATCTACAACCAGAGCATGAAAAAGCATATAGTTTTTCACCTTTGCAGCTAGCTCAGAACCAATTTCTCTTGACAGCAAAGTCACAAGAGCTTCCAGTTTTTGTGGCCTGACGTAACCAGCTAGGTTTAACACAAATTGCATTCTCCCAAATGCTGAATTATGTCTCTAAAAAGGGCATGAAAAACTAATTTCAAAATGTTTTGATGAATTTGCTTTGTTTCAATAGTACAAGTATCCATACTAAATTTTTGAAGTGCCTTGTTTACACCTCTGTGAAGGTCCTCCACCAAGCAATACCATCAGCATTGTAATCTTCTACAGCATCATGTATAATTTCAGTGATGGATCCAGGTTAAATGCTAGCTCTGCAGTTACAGAGAAACGCAGCCTTTCTCAATGATGTGTGGCAAGACTGTATGCTAAATGCTCTTTATCCAGTAGGTAGAAGATTCCTGGTGAAGTTGCATGTCCTGTCTATACAAAACCACTGTCACAACCATCTCTTGTTGAGGCAAGGAAGCATGCTAATAGAGACTTACCAAAAACTGTTGAAAAAGAACCCAAGTAAAACCACAGTAAACCTTGAATGAAACACTTCTCCTATGAGGAAAGGCTGAGAAAGCTGGGGTTGTTCAGCCTGGAGAAAACTACAGGGAGACCTCATTGTGACTTTTCAGTTCTTAAAAGGGGCCTATTTAGAAAGATGGGGAAAGACTTCTTAGCGGGGCCTGTTGTGACAGCATGAAGGGACAATGATTTTAAACTAGAAGAGGGGAGATTCAGGCTGGAAGAGAGGAAGAAATTTTTACAGTGAAGGGGGTAAAACACTGGAGCAGGTTGGCCAGAGAGGTGATGGATGCACCATTCCCGGAGGCATTCAGGGCCAGGCTGGATGTGGTTCTGGACAACCTGGTCTAGCACAAGATGTCCCTGCTCATTGCAGGCGGTTGGACCAGATGAGCTTTGAACTCCCTTCTGACGCAAACCACTCTGTGATTCTATGATGACCTGTCCCTACACGATAAAACAATTCAAGAGTGTCATAAGAAGAGTGGAGGTCCAGGAGTGTGGGAACGGCCACAACTACAGGTGAAGGACCTACAGCATCGATGCTGTCAAGATGTAAATCCCACCAACTCTCATAAGCCAGCGGTGCACATGTGGCCCTGGCCCACCCGTTGCGCGCATGGTGCTGGACGGACAGCCCACAGCGGCAGACCTATGCCGGGCCACCGCGTCCTGCCACACTCCCGCCAGGCACCAGCTCTTCACCTCACACCGCGCTGCCCTCGTCGCGCTACCGGGAGCCACCCTGCTGCTCCCCGGAGACTGCGGTGCCGCCATACGACCACCTCATGCCCGTAAGGCCCGTGGGATGCCTCAGCGCCCGCTATTCCGTGCGAGAGCTGCCTCACCCGTGAGCACCCCCGTCCCCCGCTGCGGACACGGCCCTATCTCCTCACCCTGCGGACACCGCCCCACCCGGCCCCGGCCACCTCCCGGCCCTGCCTCACGCTCCCCGCCCCCGGCCGGGCCAAACCCCTCCCCCGTCTGCAGCAAGTGGCAGCGGGAAGGGCGGCGGCGCCATCACGTGAGGGTCGTTCCTGCTCCCGGACCCGGCGCAGCCTCGCCGCCGTCGACCCCGGCCCGGTCCCCAGCTCCGCCGCGCCTCGCCCCGCGCTCCCATGCCCAGCAGTGAGGCGGTGCCGCTGGGGCTGGGCGCCTGCCGCAGGTCGGGGGCGCTGGGCGGGATGCTGGCGCTGGTGGCGCGGGTGCTGGAGTGGCTGCGGTCGCTGTTCTGGAAGGAGGAGATGGAGCTCACCCTGGTGGGGCTGCAGTACTCGGGCAAGACCACGCTGCTCACCGTGCTGGCGGTACGCGGCCCCCGGTCGCAGGGGCAAGGCGGGGGGCGCGCAGGGCGGCGGCCCGCGGCGGGGAAGCGGTGGCCGTGGGCGGTGAGGCAACGGCCCGGCGGTGTGGTCTGGCTGGAGGGGGCCGCCCCTCCCGCCTCGCTTCACCTCCCCCGGCAACAGGTGCGGGCTTTGCCCCCGCTGCGATGCTGCCGCCTGTCGTGAGGCCCCGCGGTGCGCTGCGGAGAGGGGGGCGGCGGGCGTGAGGCAGCTCCCGCATCGCTGGCAGCCTCGGGAATTTCACAGCAGGATCGGGTGCGTGTGAAATGGGAGAGACGGGGGGAGAAAGAAAATGTCTCCTCTGCTGACTGCAGAGCGTGCCCGTTCTGGGCATGGGCTCTTGCCTGTGATTGAATTGGCTTTTCACGGCCAGTGTATCCCGGAGTAACTCAGAATGTATCCTGCATCCAAGGCCACAACTCCCTTGTCAACTGAATTCTCCCCTCCCATCAGTTGCATCAAGGTTAATGCCACACACGGTTCCTTGATAGCTCTTTCCCAGCATTCCATGTCTGAATTTGGCATTCCCTACCCCCTGTGGTGATGGCCTTGCAGCCTTGTTCCCCTCTAATGCTGATGCTTGCTATGGCGTTTTCCACTTTATTGCCGTCTTTGTTTCTCATCTTTGTTTACTGTGCTCTCTGACCTTCATTTAGGTCCATCCTGAAGATTTACTTTCCATCGGGAAGTGGAAACAGCTATATATGTCAAGTATGGCTCCTGCTAGTCAGGAAGCTTAGCACCTACTCTTGCTGCACATCTTGTCTGGTGAGATTTGCAGCTTCACCTGCCATGAGATAAAGGTTTCCAGATGTTCTTTAGCCCTTATCCTGAAAAGTTGCTAGATCACAGATCAGACCAAACTGGGATGTGTATGACCTAAAGCCAAAGAGATTGAGGCAATGATGACATGAGTATATGGTATTTGTTGTTTGCTTTTGCAAACGATTCTGAGTTAAGGGAAAAAACAGAAGATTGTAACTCAGCGGGAGTGAAGAGGTGGAGGCAGAGTAGGAGATGAAGCGGAGTAGGGAAAGTGTACAGTAAAAGTATGTTCTGGGGAGCATCAGCAATCAATAAGCAGAAAATACCTGGATTTAGTATGTTAGTTTGTTAGACACTCAGCACAGGCCTCATCACTCTTTGCGCCCACTGGAAGCGTTCCTCTCCAAAGGACGGGCTTTGCTGAGTAAGGGGGAAAAGGCATGATAAGTTGCATTACTTCTTGGATTGATTTCATAAACGGAGCAAAAAATACAGCACTTCAGAGACCTTGGTTCAGTTGTGTGTGGTGTTAGATTTTGTGCCTATAACTGCTTGTCCACTCACTTATGCTAGACCACCAGTGGTATGGCATCGTATGTTTGTGTCTCTCTCATGCTAATACCTTTAATAGCAAAGCACTGCTGTTACTAGAGGTCTGATTTTGCCAGTATATGTATTGTTTAAGAGTATTCTGCCAGGCATCCATGTTCTGTGACTAGAGTGTCACAGACTGCAGGTTTTGTAGCTTTTGTATTTTTCAGTCTAGAGATGACACACCATGATAATCAACAAAGAAAGATGGTTAAAGAATTTGTGAGTAAACAGTTTAAGATATGGCAGATATTACGCTTGAATACAGTTTTACGGGGATGGCAAATTGACTGGGAAATCTGTGTTTGTGTCTATGTGGCTAGAATGTGACAAGATGAAACTAACCGTTACAAAACAGTGGATACTTAAAATGCAAACTGCAATGGATCATATAAACAAGTGTTAAGAAAATACTGTATTTTTCCACTTTGCAAGTGTATTCAGGGATCTTATCAGACTAACATTGAATAAATACCCTTTGAGACAGCCTCCTCTCTTAAGAATTTGAAGATTATGTAGTAATCCTTTGTTACTAGTGGAAACCTTGGATAATGTCCCTGTGTGGTACTATGGCTCTGCACTAATATAATTGAGTAGAATCTGGCCCATGGCTATGGATGTGGTAGGGGATAATGACAGTGTTCATTGTCAAATCAATATTCAGCAACATTGAAAGAGGACAGCATGTTGTAGCATCAGTTACTTTCATCTGTGTCAGGATGTAATCTTTTTTACTGAGATACAACCCTAAACTTGTTTGCACATCTTGGATATTCTCAAAATAGGTAATTTGTCATGTAAAACTTCCTTAGCAAGCAAAATGGAACAGATTTCTTACTTTATGGTGCTTATAGCACTTGAAACAAAACACAGTAATTAGAGCTTTTGTACTAATGTCGGCAAAAGATTTGACATATTACTTTGTTTCCTTCATTGTGTGAGGAAAATAAAGAACTGTAAACATAATACTTTCTTTGTTGCTGTTTTCATTCAACCAGAATGGAAAATTTGTAGAAGACTAAAGACCAGTAAAGGGGACACTAATTCTTTGCATTCTGTTGCTGATACCAGAGCAGTTATGAAGGATTTGGTTTTTTTTTTCTGATGTCTGTCTTCCAGTTTAGCATGTTACATATGGTGTATAATTTGCTGGCAAAGTGTAATCCTGACTTTCTATGAGTTTGTTTAAACAATAGCCTTCTGAGTTGACCGGCTGTTTTTTGAGGCATTCTTGTGCTTGAGTAATGATGCTACATTCTCAGGGTTTATGTATTTCTATGTGTTTATACATCCGGCCTTCACAAATAAACGTGCTTTATATTTTAAGAAATTAAACCAGTACGTGCTACAGGAGATAGTTACTGACTGTCTTTGTTTTACTCCATCCAATTAAGAAGTTGTGTCACTGATGGCTGCTTATATCTGTATGAGGCTGCAGGTGCATTTGTCTTCACTGTTTTTTTATATTGCTGTTGACAAGTCACTGAAGCAAGGAAAGAGGAAGGAAAAAAAAAAAAGACTTTCAGAAACAAAAGACGGGGAGTATTGTACAGAATAGCAAGAAGGTTCCCATAGGTGAGGTTGAACAAGTAACTGATGGAAGAATCTAATTCCAGACTCCAAAATCTTTGGGGGGGGGGGGGGGGGGGTAAGTACCTGTCAAAGGTTGTACAGCTTTTAAAATCCCAGATTAAAAATAATTAATCTTAGTTTGTGAAGACAAGCTAGAGGCATCGTGTGTTCTCACTCTGCCATGAACAGGGAAAATTTGCAGAAAGTATATAGCAATAGCACCAGGGCGAATTGGTGGCAGTGTGTGCTCTGTGAGGCACGTAGCTGCTGCAGTGCACTGTGAAGCTATGATCACCCACTCTCAGATGGGAGAGATGTATTGGAGCATGCCCATATTTTCTTCCAAGAAAACACAAAGCCATGGCATACGGGATGATGAGGTGGCTGAAGGGAATATGGCCAGATATAGATGGAAGAATGCACCGTGCCTGGGAGACACAATACTTTGTTAACAATACTTTTTGAAAAGAAAGAATGAATTATCCGCTAAGGTCTGAATTTCACCTTTCTTCTCAAAAGCTGTCTCCTGTAGTGGGTACATGTGTGTAAGGTTCCCGTTATCGTGATGACAAGCATCTGTCTTGTAAAAACATTTCTTGAAACTGGGGGAGGAGGTAGCAATTTGATTTTATCTTTTGGGTTTATGCTGTGCTGCGTTAGTACCTTGTATTTTTCTATCTTTATGGCATTCTCTTAGCTTCCACAGCAGGATTCCTCTGCTGGCATCTACTCAGAAGGAAAGGGTCTGCACGTAATACTTTCTACAAAGTACTCCTTTGTCGTTTATTACATTTGGAGTTGAACCATTCGTAACAGTAGTGAGAAACTGTAAGGAAAAATCCTGCTATAATC